AGAATAAGGGGCACCTGGGTGGCTCAGAGAGTTAAGTGTCTGACTTCAGCTCAGGTCATGATCTCACAGCTTGTGGGTTCGAGCCCCATGTCAGGCTCTGTGCTGACAGCTCAGAGCCTGGAGCCTGCTTCGGATTCTGTGTCTCCCTCTCTCTCTCTGCCCCTTTCCCCGCTCACACTCTGTCTCTCTGTCCCTCTCTCTCTCTCAAAAAAAAATAAATAAAAACATTAAATAATAGAATGAAATAATGTAAAATAATTAAATGAAAATTATCTTGAATTAGTAATTTATATTTCAACCTGCTAGGATATGTAACTGCCTGATTTTTTAATGTTTATTTATTTTGAGAGAGAAAGAGAGAGAGAGAGCAAGCACGGGTGGGGGAGGGGCAGAAAGAAAGGGAGAGAGAATCCCAATCAGACTCCATGCTATCAGCACAGAACCCAACTCAGGGCTCAATCCTGCAAACCATGGGAGTAGGCTCAAGAGTCAGACACTTAACCGACTGAGCCATCCAGGTGCCCCCATGTAACTGCTTAATTTTTTTTTAATACATATTCCCTGTGACAGGAGAAGCTTCTGAAAGCTTGTGATATCCAAATTCAACCTATTTCAGTGACAACATAGGATAGTAGAAAGAATACTATTTGCTGGGAAAGCTAAGGAATTTATCATTTGTAGCATGAAAAGTTTATTTTCAGCAGCTGGTGCCATAATTCTTCTTAATGAGTGTGATAGTTTACAAAAATAGATGTAGGGGTTTTTTTGCATTTTTGCTCATTTCTTTACAATATGAATTTGCAGGTCTACCCTTAAATCTGAACGTGACTTGCTTTGGTCAATGAGACATTAGTAAACATGCAAGCAAAGCCACAAAAAGTGCTTCTCCCTCTCATGCTTCTCTTGGAAATACTGCCACCACCTCTTTGTGAATGACCTGTAGAAGCCTGCTGAATGATGAGAAACATGTTGTCAGGTCATCTCCACTGCCCCACTAGACACATAAGTGATGTCACCTTAGACCAACCAAGCCCCGCAGAGCTGGGATCCATCAAGCCAACCCAAAGCAGAACTGCCCACCCAACAGACATTATTTTTTAAATTTTTTTACTGTTTATTTATTTTTGAGAGAGAGAGAGAGAGAGAGAGAGAGAGAGACATGAGTGGGGGAGGGGCAGAGAGACAGGGAGACATAGAACATAAAGCAGGCTCCAGGCTCTGAGCTGTCAGCACAGAGCCCGACCCGGGGCTTGAACTCACAAGCTGTGAGATCATGACCTGAGCTGAAGTCGGACGCTTAACCAACTGAGCCACCCAGGTGCGCCCAGATATTAATTTTTAAACCTCATACATGTTAGAGACATGAAGAACTATACCCATCACCAAGACCAATTATTTACTGAGCTAATTGCTCAACTTTTTGCTTTCACTCATAGAGCAAAATTAATTTTGAAAGATAATACCTAACTTATTTATGTGTGATGCACTCTGATATTTCTTTCTATTCTTTTCTGTTTTATTTCATAGTTTACAATATCACCGGCAACTCCCTAAATTGATTTCACAATCCTCTAATGACTCTTGACCCAAAGTTTGAACAACATGAATATAGGATTTAGCAGTCCAAATAAATGTTTCTGGAATGAATGAATGTCATAAAGGCAGATTTGGCACATCAACACCTGCAGAATATGTGTAGCATCACGCAGTGTGGTACCAGACGGTAGCTAGAGGAATGTCTAAAATTCAAATATGATAATCACTTCTTCGAATTTTATTTTCTTCATTACCTTCCTACCATACTTACTTTGAGATCCAGGTCCTTCCCAAGGTCTAAAAGACCTGGACAATCTCATCCTGTCTACCTCTCCAGTCTCATTTCATGGCTCTTCTTGCTCCCCAGGCTCCAGCCCCACACTGGCCTTCTCTCTCAGTTTCTTCTGTACATGAAGCCTCTTTTCCACAGGCTGTTCTTCTGCCTCTTGGGATGCTTTCCTTTCTTTGCTCCACCACTTCCTACAAATCCTTTAAGCCTCTGTTGATATGCTCCTTCCCCTGGGAAGACTTCCTGTACCACCACCAGAATAGATACCCCCATATATCTCCATAGAACAGATCATAATTGAAATTTTAATATGTGGGTAATTGTCAATTCAACATTTTTCTTATATAAGCTTCACAAAGGCAAAGACTGCTTTCTCCCCTACACTCAGAACATTGTTTACATAGCAGGTCTAATTTACTGTTTGATAAATGAATAAATGAATGTTTTTTGAAATTCTTATTAGCTCTTTCCTCCACCTTTGTAACTTCACAGCTTCTGGCACTCTCCAGAGTTCAGACAACTCCATGGTGCATACCAGAGATGAATCTGAGTGGCTCGCACCAACCAAATGACTGGAATTATTCCTTCCCTCCTGAGGTGACTTTGCTGCTGGCCAAACTTGGGTGCCTGATGCCTATGACCTATGGGTGGGTTCTTGCTCAGGAGGTTCCATGGGCCCTGATATTGTCAGGATCCTGGAGGCTCACCACAAACATTGACTAGATGTGCTCAAACTTGCGGAATCACACTAGTAGCAGGGGCTTTCCACACAAGCCGGGACCAGGGACTCCACTTTTCAAATGACTGAGTTACTGAGTACCCTCACCTTTCATGTGGGAGAACTATAAGAAGTTGCTGTAAAATGTAAGAAGGAAACTTTATGTTTCTAAATAATGAATTATACTACCATTATATTTCTTTATTATCAGGACATGCAGGTTGGTTTTTTTTAATAGGCATCACACCCAGCATAGAGTGCAAAGGGGGGGGGGGCAGCAGGGTGGGAGGAACTTGAACTCAAGACCATAAGATCAAGTCATTCACTTAACCAACTGAGCCACCCAGGTACCCCTATCCATGTTCATTTTAAAAACTAACTTTGTGGGGCACCTGGGTGGCTCAATCGGTTAAGCGGCTGACTTCGGCTCAGGTCATGATCTTGCAGTCAGTGAGTTCAAGCCCCGCATCGGGCTCTGTGCTGACAGCTCAGAGCCTGGAGCCTGTTTCAGATTCTGTGTGTCTCTCTCTCTGACCCTCACCCGTTCATGCTCTCTCTCTGTCTCAAAAATAAATAAATGTTAAAAAAAAAAACAAACTAACTTTGTGGGGTGCCTGTGTGGCTCAGTCAGTTAAGCATCTGACTTCGGCTCAGGTCATGATCTCACCGTTTGTGAGTTCAAGCCCTGCATCAGGCTCTCCACTCTCGGCGCAGAGCCTGCTTTGGGTCCTCTGTCTCTCTCCCCACTTCCCGCTCCCATCTGCTCACATTCTCTCTCAAAAAGTAAACATTAGGGGTGGCTGAGTGGCTCAGTCAGTTAAGCGTGTGACTTTGGCTCAGGTCATGATCTCGTGGTCTGTGCGTTCAAGCCCTGTGTCGGGCTCTGTGCTGACAGCTCAGAGCCTGGAGCCTGCAGCCTGCTTTGGTTTCTGTATTTCCCTCCCTTTCTGCCCCTCCCCCATTCATTCTTTCTCTCTCTCTCTCTCTCTCTCTCTCTGTCTCTCTCTCTCTGTCAAAAATAAACATTAAAAAAAATTTTAAAGTAAACATTAAAAAAATAAAAACTAACTTCGCAAACATTGTTTCTGACAATTTTTAGTCATAGACAATAGAATCCACTCTAGCTGATTTAAACAAAAACTAGTTTCAAGGCAATCAAGTAGTTCATCAAACCCAGAAAACCAGATTCTAACACCTCACACCCAAGGTATTTCAGGGCACTTACTGGTTCAGGCAACTTGCATCAACCACTAGATTGGTTAATGCACCAGTTCTTTACTCTCAGAGGAGAATCTAATTTCCAAGTTCAAAGACATACCAGTGTTAATATTCTGTTTCTGTTCATAGCCTTTATACGTTCATTCATTTTGACTTTGTCTAATAAATCCAAAGGGGCTCCTCATATTTTTTAAGTATTAATTATATTGAACACCACGTTTGAGGGAAATACTCCCTATGCTGTTTTTACTTCCTCTGTGGTTTTTTCCATTAAAGCTAAAACAATTACCATAACTTCACATATCAGACACATTTTCAAAATGCAATCTAGTTAAGCACTTAACACTTTGCATCCTGGTTCCAGGAATTAACTTCTGCATCCTTGGGCCTGTTATTTAACTCTGGGCCTTTTTAAAATTTGTTTATTTATTTTTGAGAGAGAGAATGAGTGGAGGAAGGGCGGAGAAAGAGAGAGAGAATCCTAAGGTAGCTCCCTGCTGTCAGCACAAAGCCTAGTGGGCTGGGGAGGGCTGGGGGAGGGCTGGGGGGGTCTCAGGCACCAGGAGCCCATGACCTGAGTGGAAATCAACAGTAGGATGTGTAAAGGACTGAGCCACCCAGGCGCCCCTAAACTTCCTTATCTACACAGTAAGGTAAGGGTAATACATAAGGGTAATTAACAGCACTGAGTAAGCTTTTAAAAATTAAATCAACTCTTAAGGGCTTAAATCAATAACCACAACATAAAAAGCGCTCAGTATATACAGCTTTTTTGTCCAGCACCCAAAAGTTATCTAAATAAACCATACGCTATGTTTTCACCATGCTCTGGAAAATTAGAGAATTTCTATGGAGAGTCTTGCTTTCTTCAAAGCTGTTTGAATCCCAGCACCACGTAGCAGCAGCGCTCATAGACTAATCCCACCAGGGACTACAAAGTCACTTCGCAGCCGCACCCAGGGTCCCAGGGGCGGGGCTTTCCGGCTGCCCCGCAGGCCTCCTCCGCCCGCCTGGCCGCCACCGCCAGGGGTCGCGCGCCGAACTCCGGCACCGGCCGTCCAGGCAGCGGGCTCACGGAGCTCCGAGCGCCGACTTGGGGCCGCGGCCGGGGGAGGTGGCCGGCGGGCCTGGCGGGAGGCGGGGACCGGGAGGCCTCGGCGGAGACGGAGGGCGCTGCCCGGGCGGACGGCGGGAGGGGGCGCTGCGGTGTCGGCCCCGGCGCGGCGCGGAGGAAGTGCCGTCTTCGCTGCCTCGGCAGCCTCAGGCGCTTCAGCCGCGTCGCGGGTCGCCTCAGGCGCGCGGGCCGCGATGTCTTCCCGGCCGGGGCGTGACGACGCGCGAACCGGAGGCGCGCGGCGGCCGCGGGAGTCGGCCGAGCAGGAGCTGCAGCGGCGCCGAGAGCAGAAGCGGCGGCGGCACGACGCGCAGCAGCTGCAGCAGCTCAAGCACCTGGAGTCCTTGTGAGTCCGCGCCGCCCGCGCTCCTCCGCGAGGCGTGCGGTCGGGGTGGCGCGGGGGCGCGTGAGGCTGGGTCCCCGGGGGACCCGGGCGCGGGCAGCGGGACCCCGGCCAAGCCGACCGCCAGTTCCGGCCCCGCGCGGCGCGGCCACCCGACTTCCAGTGGCGCCTCCGCGGGGAGGGAAGGGCCGTTCCCCCCGCGCGCCGAGCGGCCGGGACCGGCAGGGGAAGCGCGGGCTCTAGTCCCCCGCGCGAGGTCGGCGTGCGGCCGGGGCTCGGCGGGGCGGGTGCGGCGGATCCGGCGGCACTTAGTAAGCGCTCGGACGCGATTTGGGGACTGAACGCGCGGCCAAGTGCAGTGAGCGCTGCGGTCGTGCCCTTTCACGGTGTCGGTTCAGAGGGCCCCCGGTGGACCGGGTCAAATCCGCATTCTCTTCATCTGCTGCGAAGGAGGGACGAGAACCAGCCGTCCTGTACCGTTCGTGCGGCCCGGAGGGGAGGGCCGGAGAATGGGGTGACGGACTGTCCCTGAAGATTCCGAAGGTGGCTGTCAGGTGGAAGAGCGTGGAGACTTGTTCTCTTTAGTCCTGAGGATTTTGAGCAGCATGAAGGGTGGGGGCTACGAAGAGGCCGGTTCCAGCTGAGCAGAAAGAATGAGGACCGGGGTCTCCCGTTCCTGCTGGTCAGCGTGGCCTGACTTCAAGAGGCCCCGTGCAAGGCCAGCTCCGGCGGGTTCGAGGAGAGTGCCCATGGCTGTGGGAGAAGGGCAGGTTGTAGAGGAGATGGAAACATCAGGCGGGAGGTGCATTTATGGCCTTTCGGTGCTTTTCTGTGATTGTCACTCTGTAATGAGCTCCAGAAGGCAAACGTAAGTTTGCTGTTCCCTGAGTTATTCAATAAATGACACGTTTTTCTTTCAGGCACTTCTGTTACCTGTACTAAGATGATCATGTAAAGAAAAGTCTTCAAAGGAGTCAAATCCTTTGTAATTAACCTGGGAGCTTTGACACAACATGCATTGCATTATTGGAGGCTGGCCAGCTGTTTTCATCGTGACCCTTGAGCTGAATTTCACCTTAGTAAGGCAGTGGTTGCAGGGTACAGGCCCAGTATTGTTAGCAGGTACAGTCCTGGCCTCTTCTTGCCCTCAGTGGCCCTGTCCTGTGCACCGCAGATTTTCAAAATCCTTTGCCTAGAATAAGCTTGAGTTTAGCAGGGCTAAGTTAAACATTGTCTTTAACTGTGGGATACCAGATCCTGGTTAACACCATACATTTATTTTGTAACTCACAAAGCACCCGTAGACATTGGAGAGACTATAATCTCCTTTTGCAGATGAGGAAATGCAGGTTCAGGAGTTAAGTAACCTGATCAAGGATACACTGACCTGTAAACTAGCAAAACCAAAGAGAAACCCAGGCATCTGATACCCAGATTGGTTGGATTTTTCCACTTCAGGGATTTAAACCTTCTGGACTGTTGCCGTATTTGGTTTGGCTAGTTTAGAGACTTGTTTGCTTTTAAGTCAAAATGTTTAGAGTAATACTTTAATTTAAACATCACATAGTACTAAAAGACTGAATTCAAGAAATAGTGGTTTGCATCCCTGTTCTGTAGTCACCCACACATTCCCAGCACCAAGGTTTCAACAAGGAAACTTAGTTTTTTCTTCTGGGATTTAACTAATTTCTCAATGATATGCTTATACTGCCCTTTTAGATTGAACAATAGACATTACCTATAAACCTAATGTCACATAAATGAGGGTTTAGTTCTCTTTCCCTACCCTTCTTGCATCCATCCTTCCAATATAGTTTCATTATAATTTTTGTTCAATCAGTATTGGTTCAGTTGGTATTAGCATTATTATAACTATTCAGTATTGTCCACTTGTTTTTTAATTTTTTTATGTTTATTTTTGAGAGTGAGAGAGCACGAGCGGGGGAGGGGCAGAGAGAGAGGGAGACACAGAATCCGAAGCAGGCTCCAGGCTCTGAGCTGACAGCACAGAGCCGGACACGGAGCTCTAAATCATGAACCATGAAATCATGACCTGAGCTAAAGTATGAAGCTTAACTGACCAAGCCACCCAGGCACCCCAATATTTTTACTTTTGAGCCAAATGGTATTCTGTGATTTCTTTAGCTCTCTAGTACAACTGTATTTTTTAACTAATTAGAGCCTCAATTATTTTCATTTGCTTGATTTCTTATTCTCGCCTGCTAATTTTATTCCAAAGGCTATAAAGCTGAAGGTACTTTTTCTCCATGCTCCTATATATCGGACAATCTGATATGGTTTATCAGGTTTATTTTTAAAACCTAAAATCTTCCTTCTACTTTCCTCCAGTACACTCTGGTTGCTTTCTAGACCTGGTGTACAACTGCCCTCATCAGTCTCCTGTCTTGGATCCCATTCCTGGACCCCATGTCTTCCTCTTTCTCTCTTTAGCTCATTTTGTTGAAATACATTATATAACTTCCTACAAAAAGTGCATTAGGGGTAAATATGTTGAGTCTTTACATATCTGAAAATGTCTTTATGCTACCCTCAAACATGATAGGTAGTTTGGCTAGGTATAGAATTCTAGGCTAGAAAAATTTTCACTTGGTTTCAAAGGTGATATGCTACCATTTCCTAGCTCCCAGTATTGCTGAGAAATTTGATGTCACTCTGATTCCCTTTCTTTTATAAGAAACTTGTTCTACCTCCCCCACCTTTGCAAGCTTTAAAGAATTCTTTATTTCTAGTATTTTGCTGTTTCATGATGTGAAATTTTTCTCACTGGATTTCAGATTTTTTTTTCTAGATACTTTGTGGGTGTTTAATATACATACGTAAACTCTGTTTTAATTTCCTTACCACCATTTTGTTTTTTCTTACTCAGACTTCTGTGATCCTCTTTTCACTCTTATTTTCTGTCTTTTCATCCTATAAGATTTATCTTCCTATCCTTCCACCATTGCACTTTTTTTTAAGTTTCAATTTTTAACTTTAAAGAACTTATCGGGGCGCCTGGGTGGCGCAGTCGGTTAAGCGTCCGACTTCAGCCAGGTCAC